TGAGGGAACTACTTTATCGTGGATATAAGTGATAATAGGAACTTGTCTCTCCGATGTTGCATGACATTTAATCTAAACTATAAACTGTTAAAATGTGCAATGTGTCATTCAGTAATAAATTAAACACTGTAATTGTTAGCAAATTGCTGTGGTATAAGTGGAATAACACACGCCTGAAAGTGAGGTTATACGAAAATAATCCACTTAGTGTCGTGCCACATCACTCCACCCCGGCGTGGATTATTATGATATTAACTGCACAGTCTGTCGTGTGTTATTCTTTACTCGAACAATCTGTACAGCCTTTATTTAAACAATTGCAATAGTTTATGCTAATAATGTGAGTTGAATTTCTGAGGTTAGACATTAGAAGAACTAGAATTAGAAATTAGAGAATGACGTGTATGTTTCTAGTCTTTCACATAATCCTTTTCTTTTGGTATTGCCCAGGTTGACACAAAAAAATAAAGTTTAATAAAAAAGACACACAACTAGCCATGGACGACTTAATGCACTATGGCCTGAGTCAAGCATCTTTTATCACACCGATGGACAAACTTGTATTATTAGGTTTTCTTCATGTATGTGCAGAAAAACATCAAGACGATACAACTCTGAATTCTTGTCTCTGCTGTTCCCTTACCCAAAAATAATCGCAGTAGCTCCACTCGCCTGGTTTGAGCAGTTGCTGCTCGGAGGAGTGTAATGGGAGAGGGAACGTCACACAGTTGATTTGCTGAGAAAGAGAATCAAATAATCACATCATGTTAGAAAAGATAAGTAAAGGCAGTGCTGTGTAATATTTGCTGTACATAACAAAAGCTTATTATTATTATTATTATTATTATTATTGAGAGATTATGTTCTCAGCATGTTGAGAGATTGTGTTCTCAGTTTATGGTTCTCAGCATGTTGCAGTTAAACCACAGCACTGTAGAACACTCAAATCTGAAGGTCTGGATTAATTTTCTATAACAGCAGCTTTGACTGGTAATTAAAATGATAGCTCTATATTAATGTGCTAATTTGTATACGTTATTGTTTCTATAGTAACAGCTTGTTTGGTGGATAATCTAAGACTAATAATAAACAGACTGAAAAGTGCTGTTATTTAACAATGAAAAACATATGATCAGTGATATGGTGAAGATTTCTGTAAGCAGACATTTATTTAACATTTATGGAAGGAGTGTCCAGTGTCCGCATGTTGTAACGGTCAATAAGTTGTCTGCCATGGGAAAGTCTTCAAGACATAGGATTATGCAATTTCTGCATTCTCAGTAGTATGACAAGCTGTGTTTCTTTGTCTTATTAACTACAACAGAGAGAAAAAAAAGAGAGGTAGGTGAGGGAACTGCTGCTTATAACTGCTTAAGAACTATCTAAGTGATAAGGATGTTATCAAAGATGTTCTATAACATTAAATTTAACTATAAATGATTAAAAAAAGCTCAGTGTGTCATTGTTTAATAAATTAAAGTTAATAATCACTGCCACATCACTGCAGCAAAAGAGAAATAAACATGGTTACAGGAAAACAATCTGAGCGATATCACACACCATGGCGTGGATCGTTTCCAACAACACCATGCCCCATCATGTTTTATCAGGTTAAACATCAGACCAAAGCAACTGTGATATAACAGGACTACAGTGTTTTATTTCAATCCCACCACTGCAAACAATGACACTGCCCACAATGTTTGATTTTCCAGCTGTGGTTGAAAACATGTTGTTGTTCCATGTGCCAGGATTCGCTTGTATTCTGAACCTAAAGAACAGCTACATACTATCAAACAACCGCATATCCAATCTCTGTTCTTCCCCTGAGTGTTTTCTGTCCTGTAAATATAAGTGAGTAGTAGTAGCTTTAGCGAAAGTGTGTATGTGAGCCAGCTGTGTGCCGTTTAGAAGGCTGCTAGGAGACTAGAAAGAGGAGAAAGCAAGAAATCACATGAATGTTGACCCATATGGCCATGTTAACACCATCTGTAGCACTATTTTCAGCACATGATGAGTGATTTCAGTTATTTAAAATCATTTAACATGTACATGAGCTTTTGTCCTGTGAGATTTGCTAACAATCATGGTCAGCAATCGTCTCTATGTGGGCATTGTATATTGAGCCGCACCCACGCTACAGTCACATGGCCACCCTGCACTATACCACAAGAGATACACAAAGAGCATTCGTCCTTTAAATCTGCTGTTCCTTTCAAAAACAAAATGTGAAAACATACAGTGTGTAAATGCAGCTAGTAATCACTGCAGCTCCACACAGCTGCTGCTTGGCTGTGCGATTAACAACATTTACTGCTATGAGCAGAGCTCCAGGTCCATTTCTTTCTACATGTGAATGTTATCTAATGATCTTCATAAGTTCTACATAAATCAGCAGCACACAGCGAATGAGTGTCATTAATCAACACCTTCTTCATACAGGCTTTGCAGTGCCCGTGGTCCGCCTCTGAGGCTAAATTTGTTTTGTTTATTCCGCATCGTATGACAATGAGTTCTGTTCTCAGGTTGAACACAGCACAGCGTTGTGACAGCAAGACTGACTAATAACAGATGTGTTTCTCACTGCCTGTCTAACGGCAGCTCGCAGCTCCCTGTCGCAGCAGAGCGCTAAACAGAGCAAAAACATCTGCAAGGCATCTGGCGATGTCTAGACTGCTTACAAATTTACAATCTGCAAATTTTTCTCAGAGATTAACTTATACCTCTTTAGTCTAAGGTCCCGATTTACTAAAGGTTTGAATGTGTAAAAACGTGCAAACATGATAACACCCACAAAAAAACGTGCAAGATGTTTCGTCTTTCACATCAGCCAAAATAGCATGTGTTGTCGAATTTTGTGTTTGCCTTCATGAATATTCAGCGTGGGATGCACACTGAATATAGTGCAAAATACAGGGTGGTGTCAATGCAAATATGTTAATTTAGCATATAAATTGCGATTTAATAAGCCTGAGAGGCACGGACTGTATTTGTTTGTGCAAATCCATATGACTGAAGAGCAGGTATTATATTTGTGGAAGTCTGTTTCTGCTAGGTGATGCCAAAATTATACCACTTAGTATGATTTAATGATAAAAGTTTATCAAGAGTATGCATGATTTGGTGAAAATGATCAGAAAGGTTCTTAAAATGTTGAATTTCAGTGGTTAGATGCTTTCATATTAGATATTCGCTGCATGGTGTAGTGCTGCTGCCTCACAGCTCCAGGGTCCTCGGATTAATCCTCATTTCAGGCTACTGTCTTGTAGCGTTTCACATGTTCTCCCCATGTTCATGCTGACATCCTCTAGGTTCTTTGGTTTCCTCTCAACTCCAAAAACATGCTGGACTGGCCATGGTGACAGGCATCCCATCCAGGTTGTATTCCTATCTCTCTCACCCAGTATTTACCACAACTCTGACCAGGATAAAGCGGTTACTGAAGATGAATGAATGAATATTTTTGTTGTATATTCGTACCTCTGAAGCCAACAACATATAAATAGACACTATTTCATATTTCCTGTCACATCTCACCGCCTTTAAATGGCAACACACTGGTAATTATGTCAAGTTCTACTTTTTTTTTTACTCTTCCAGGATTCACGGGAACTCTCAAGAACAAATAATACACACAAAAGCCTTATTTACATACTATTTCCTCCCTCTACTTTGCGTGTGATGCAATTCACACAATTACTTTTTGTTAATCTTCTGCAATACGCCCACTTTTTGCATGCGCAATTTATCCCCATGCACATGCAAATTAGCCACATTATTTGCGCTCTTAGTAAATCAGGGACTAAGAGCTCGTTTTGCTTGCATTTTTATCCCACTTATAAAAAGGGTTTTGGGTTTTTTTTTGCATTTTTTGAAGCAATAAGCTTCTTGGAAACTCTTTGGAATATTGTATTAAATTCTTGGGTAGGCCTTGAGTACACTTATAACATGCGCGAATTCAACCATGACTGTTAACCTCCACTATCACAATTAGTAATAAATAAGAATTGTGCAACGATTTTTATGTCTGGGAAAATCCATGTCATTAAAACCTTGGTTTATGTGCGCCATGTTGAGCACATCATAACACTAGTAGTGTGTCTCAAACTACTCATAAAACTCTTGCTCACTCTTTCAAAAACTTTTGAGTAAAAGTCACTGAGCCCTGTGGAATTACTCGAATGCATGGGTGGCTCCTAAAATGTGATCTGATCTTTGTTTAAGTCATAAAAATAAATATACTGTCTTGAAAGGCAACATGAACTACCCCAGGAGCACAGAGGCATTCTGTAATGTCTGTCTAATCCTCCCAACATTCCACACTAGGCACTCTGATGACTTAGGCCCAGGGATCTGTGGCCTCACAATAGGAGCTTTATCTGTCTTCACATTAACTCCCAAGCAACTTTGCTGAGAAGAGAGTGAATAAGCTAGCAACGATGGCTCTCAGAGCTCTCCAAAACAACATGACAAGCTGCTTATCAAGTCCTCAGTCTGCTCAACCTCGAACAAGAGGATCACACACTCAGTACATGCCCGTCACATCCCTCTTACATCTGCCAGTCAGTACATACAAAAAGAAATGATTGAAACCATGGTGTCTGCAGGTATCCTCAAGTGAAACTGATAACTTTTTCAGTGCCGCTTCACAGACTAGCAGAAAAAAAAGGGGATGTAGCTCAGTGGTAGAGCGCATGCTTTGCATGTATGAGGTCCTGGGTTCAAGCCCCAGCATCTCCACAGACTGGATTTATAGTATTGAAAACCAGTTTAAGCCAGGTCCCAGCAGTCGCTGCTGCTAGTGGTGAAGCAGTTCTTTCACACGCCCACAGAAGGTAGCGTGGCCGAGCGGTCTAAGGCGCTGGATTAAGGCTCCAGTCTCTTCGGGGGCGTGGGTTCGAATCCCACCGCTGCCAAGCGAAACTTTATGGTAGACTGAATTAAGGCTTCAGTCTCTTCAGGGGTGTGGGTTCAATCCCACTGCTGCTGACAAGTTCAGGGCAGTGGTGGCTCAATGGTTAATGTGCCAGGTTACTGATCAGAAGGTTTGGGGGTTCAAGCTCCAAACCCCCTCCTCTGCTCCAGGGGTGCTGTATCATGGCTGATCCTGTGCTCTGACTCTTCTGTGAGGAAAAGCATTTTGCTGTGGCAAATAAAGGCTTCTTGTTCTGTTATATTTCATAGCATGCAGTGTGTTTCAAAGCTCACACACCATGTGAGAACAAAGCCCACTTCTCTCTGTTTAGGCTACGTCATCAGCAGGTAGCTAACATTAGTCTCAGTTTAACACAGTTTATCTCATGCGAGTGATTTCAAGACAGAATTAACCACAGAAAAACAGCTTACAACACAAAAGTCTAAGACCATGTTAATTTGCGTTTGAGACAATTTCATACACTTAATTTTAAAATGCCAAACTTTGTAAGGACTTATAGACCCAAAGTAAAAAAGTCTCTGCATTAAATCATGACACTGAGTCACACAATCCTGTGGCTCTGACTCAGACTGACGTATGAGACCAAATTAGCTGCAAAACCAACCCTAAAGTGTAAAAGTTAGAGTCTGTGGAGAAAGTTTAGGCAGCTTTTGCACTTTAACACAGTACTTTAACCCAACCCAGAGATGCATTTCAGCAAGTTTGTACCTAAAAATCTCTGAATCAGCTGAAAATCTTGTCAAATAAACTTCTTGAACACATTCCAAATGGTTTCAAATTTTCCTCATCAGATCCTACTGTGGGCTGAACACTTATAAATGACAAAGTCGTCAGTCCATGATGTTGGTTCATTCTCAACCCTACAGGTTTCATGAGCAGAATCATGCTGGCTTTTTGAAAGGAAACCGATTTCTCATTTCCCTCTGGTTCACATTTTGCTTACTTGAGTCCTATGCTTTTTGAGCTCTCTAACGTGTGACATCTGAGAAGCTTTATGGCAACTCCTCACATGGAATCAGTTCCTTTTTTATTATTGCACTGTAAAAAACTCGGCTGTTCAGAGAAACACGTGGTTAAACAATCAGATGACATGAAGCCTTTCACTGATCTTTTACTTGTATATTAGTTTGTTGCTAAAGTGAACTTTAGGGAGAATATTAGCTAATGTTTCAATGACATAACATCCCTGTTGAGGCCTGTCCCGATTATTACATAATCAAGAAATTTGAGCAGATCGTAATTATTTGAGTTGATTCTGATTTATTTACATGGAAACATGATTATAAAATTGAACTGTTAGCTAACAGTTTGAACTGTTAGTCAAGCAAAATGCATCCGCCAACACAAAGTTTAATCTCAGTGAATTCATCGATACACTAAAATCAAAGGCTTTGACCTACGACCTTTGTAAAACTGCATTTCATTTTGTAACACAGTGATATTTAGTTTAGTTTAGAGAATTATACAGATATCTTTATCATATGCTATACTATACTGTTTATTCTTCAGTAACTAATGTGTATATTTTAGTAATAAGCCTTATATTGTTGTTATTGTTTGTGGCAGTTCTTTGTAAGATAACTGTGCATTACTTCACTATTAATGTGTTGTAAAATCAACAGCAAAGACCAGAATAATTACTTAAGACTTTCATTAAGATCAATTATTTAGTAGTCAAAATTTTGACACAGGCCTTTCATTGTCAGGAGTTAAACTGCATAATATAAATCAACTCAAGTGGGGTTTATTGTCATTCCTACGTAACTAACATAAAATATAGTTTTGACAGCATTGTTGTCATGATAGCACAAACATGACAAAGTGAGACAAATGCAAAATATAAAATAACTACACTAACACTAACTAGACAGGCTAACAAAACAATGCTGGATGGATTATAGCACACTAATAACAGAAGTCAGTCTGCATCCATATCATCAACTATGGTTGAATACTGACTGAAAGAATAAGGTCATGAGTACAGGCGGTGGAAATGAGGTTCCTCCACTGGGTTGATGGGTTTACTCTCTGTGATAGGGTAGACCTCATACTAATTCGATTCAATTCAATTCAGTTGTATTTGTATAGCGCTTTTACCAATGGACATTCTCACAAAGCAGCTTTGCAGAAACATATAAATCCAGGATATAAATTTTACATTTATGAATATGTCCCTAATGAGCAAGCCAGAGGCGAAGGGAAAAACTCCCTGACACGACATGTTGAAGAAACCAGAGCTATCTTCATGGTTTCTAATTGGTACCATCCACTTTAACCTCATGTCACTTTAGGCTGTCCGTATGGGGCCATCCTCAGCAGCAGCAGTGATATTATAACTGCTGCTCCTCTTAACTAAGAGATGAGGTGGTTTGGGCATCTTACAAGGATGAGTCCTGGTAGAGCTGTATCAGGCATGTCCCATTGGACTGAGACCCCAGGGTAGACCCAATAAGAGCTGGAGAGATTGGGAATGTCTGGGGATCCCCCAGGAAGAGCTGGAATCTGTGGCTGGGAATAGACTGACCCAATCACCTTGTTGCCACTTCAAAAAGTGTAAGGAAAATTAATGAATGAATGAGGAATAACATAGATACATAACTAATCTATGAAAAGCCTTTAAACCCCACGTTACCCCATTTAATTAACCAGCTCCACTAACCTGAATGACTCAGTAAAATTAGCAGTGAAAGCACACCCAGTGGGTTCATTCCATATAAATGCTTTAAATCAACGTGCTGTCCTCATACCTATGGAAAACAAAGATATACTGCCCCGTTACCCCTGATATCCTGTGGCTCGCCTTTACTTTGGGTTGAAAGTCAGCCCTGATTATTCCTCACAGAGCTCATTCCAAGCTCACCGGTCCCTTCATACGCAATCTATTCAAACTTTCTTTTTTTCCAACCATATGACAGATCTATAGCACAAGAACAGATATTTGTTTCTGCACTAACACTGTATGCCAGAATCTGATACGACTATCATAGGATTATAAAAACTGACATCCTGAAAAAAACCCAAGTTATGACGTTGAAGAAAGTGGAACTGCATCTAAACCTCCAGATGGACTTGCTCAGCGTGATTTCTGTCCTGGTTTGGCAGCTGCTGCTTATCTCTGTACTGTGAAGGGTGTTATGGGAGTGTGCTGTAGATATCCAGCTACTGCTGCTTTTGTTCGCAATACTCACCGTGACTGAGGTCTTGTGCTCCGTCCTCCTTGGAGATGTGGACACAGGGCTCTGAGGAAGGAAACATTATGCATCTTCAACTTCCCTCTATAAGAGGAATTCAAATTGTGCTTTAAAGTCTTGCCATATGTGTTTTGTTGTTGTTATTATTATTGCCATGGTGACCACGAGGAGGGGCCTGTTATGGGGGTTTTCTGTGATGAACTGTCGCAAAGCTGTCATTTTCATTCAAACATTAAAATTCCCAAGTAGTCGAAAGTTTATGCAAAACACTCTTTTTCAAATCTATTGGCACCTCTTCAAAGATGTTTGGTGGCCTGGGAAAACCCTTTGCATGGTGAATTTCTTTGTGATTTCTATAAGTAGCAGATGGTAAGGCAGCTGTCCTCACACATACAGACCACACCCAAAGCTCATACTGACCTACAGATGTAGTTAGCATCAAGCATTACATCCATAGATCAAAGCAATTAAATTGTAAGTAATTCTATTTAACTTATTGTAATATTAAATCTGAAAGACTTTCAATAATACTCATCCATGCACTAATTGTTTTGAGTTTGGCTCATTTGCTATTGACCATTCTAATAATTCTTTCAGCTGAATATGTTGGCTCAAACCAGATTTTGATCTTCTTGGCTTCTGTTAATGCATAAAGTACCATAGGTTGATTTAAGGTAAGATTTAGATGATAATCATCATTCAGCAAACATGGAGAAATTTTCATAATTTCTACTATATATAGGTATGAAAGCTAGACCTTCGTGAACTGAAATATGAGTCCTTTTTGCATCTTTTTCAACCATAAGTAAAGTTATAGCATTTTAAAGTCTGGTCACCCCCCAAAAAGTGAGAAGGGACAAAATTACATTTCATTTCAACTATGGCATAGGAGCATTACAGATAGCTGGTATCTGATTACAAACTGAATTGATTAGGCTTATGTGAAAAAGTGTGACATTCACTGTCTGAGAAAATCACACTTAGCTCAAAAGGTTTCATCTTTAGGCAGACTGACTGTTTATAACACCACATGTTCTAAAATGGCCCCTTACACAATGTGATCTTTGCAAGAAGCCTAGCTCTAAACAAGCATAAAATGTAAATACAAATCTTCACATCATTTTGGCCAAATATGTTCATAGGATATTAAAATTATATTATAGGCAGAAAAATCCAATTTTGGGCAAAACTTTTTTGACTTTTTTTTTTTTTGGCTTCTGGCCAGAATTCAGCCACAGCAACATCTGAAGAGTTTTCCCAGACCACGTCACATTTTTTTGGTAAAGCCTCCCTTGGGATGAATAAAAACACTAAGGCCCAATCCCAATTCTATTTTATACCCCTTCACTTACCCCTACCCCTATGCCTACCCCTTCCCCTTGTCCCTTGAAACAGAGTGTCAAGGGGTAGGGGTGAAAATATTCCCCTAAGAATTGGGACACCACTACTATACCGTTACACGTCATCATACGTCATCTAGGTCCTAATTCTCTCTCTCGAATTGGCAATATTTGAGAAAAAAGTTTAGCGATTTCTAATTATTGGGGGGACTAGCCCCCCTCAATGTCTTTGGTGGTTACAGCCCTGAGAATCAAGACACCCCTACCCCTCCGTTTCGCACGTTCAAGTGAAAGGGGAAGGGCTAAGGGGTAGAAATGGGATTGGGCCTAAGTCTCTTCCTGACTAGATTGGAGATACTTATAGAGGATCTTGGACGCTCCTTCATGCTGAACATTTTAACCTCCTTTATATTCCTATAGTGCGTTCATGTGGACCACAGTAAGACTATGATACAAAAGCACTCCTATTTCTCAATGCTCATGATCTACACTGTACTAAGTGTGCAATTATGATGCAAGAAACATTACATTATTACCAGGTTTCGCATGGATGCTATTCTAATGCTAAACAAAGACTGAGTGGGAGGAAAGGCTAGGCAAGTCATCCTGTTCTA